AAACACCTTTATGTCTTTACCATAAAGATTTGGAACCCTCTTCCATTTGTTCTCAACCCCTTTACTCTCTCTAGTCGCCTTTCAGTCATATCTAGGGTTTGTTTTGTTTAGTTCTATCAGTTCCTTTGTTTTGTTTATCTATATTCCACATATGAAGGAAAGCATCCAGTACTTGTCTGTCTTCTGACCATCCATCTTGTCAAAATGCCAGCATGTATACGTACCACATCTTAATCTATTCATCTGTCATTGAAATTTAAGCTAGCAATTCTGCTCCTTGATATTTTATCCAAAGAAAGCAAAAACACTAATTTAAAGGGATATATGCACTCCTGTGTTCATTGACACACTATTTACAGTAGTCAAATTTGCATATTCTGCACTAAAATTCTCCTAGGTACTGTGTTCGCTTTTGGTTATATAGAGATAAGTAGGTTAGGCCACGGCTGTGAATTATACTGTGATAGCAGGTTCCACAGTCCAGTAGTAGATACTCCTCTGATCTAAAATAAAAAGTTTCCACTGGCTGTTAGGTGGAAAAGGATTAGAGAAGGCATGAAAAGGGAGACAGGTAAAAATTATCATGTTACCCAGAAATTAAAGATGATGGTGGCTTGGATTGGAGTGGCAGTGGTGGTAGATGGAAAAATCAAGCATGGAGATTTGGAGTGTATTTTGGAGGTAGAAATGACCGGACTCTTATCAGTGAATTAGATCAAGGGGTGAGAGGGAAGATGAGGGATCAGGGTGACCTCCAGGTTTTTGGCTTGAGCAGATAACTGGACAATAGGCCCTTTGCAGATGGCCTTGTTCTAATCAAAGTACCAATGGCTTGGATGAAGGCATTTGAAAGGCATAAAAAGCTTGTGAGGCAATTGGAAAGACATGGAAACAGCCCAAAATGCCCAAAAGTAGATGGCTGGATTAAAAAGATTTGGTACATATACACAGTGGAATATTACTCAGCAACCAAAAAGGGAACACATGTCTTTTGCAGCAACATGGATGGAGCTGGAAAAGATCATGCTTAGTGAAATAAGCCAGAAAGAAAAGGATGGTTTCTCTCATAGCAGGAATGTAACGGAACAGGCGAGAAAATAATGATAATGATGAACAGAGACATTTTGTGGGGGTGGAGTGGGGAATGGGATCAAAAACAGTGGGGGGGGGGAAATGCACTGGACTATGGTGATGGCACAGGGTGATTTGGTGATGGGAAGCCCAAGGGGATTGCAACTGAGATGGAAAAATGCACAAAAATATGTAAAAATAAACTATTATAAAATAAAAAAAAAAGCTTGTGAGGAAGTTGACACATAAGTATTTCAAAAGGATATCATAAGACCGGAAGGATAACGTGATAGAAAGAAGTGAAGTCTTGTGCTTTTGTTAAAAAAATAAAACAGAAGGATGCAGGATACAAAGCTGTTCAACCAGACACGCAGAAAGACTGATGTGTGCAAGATGGTTGCCGTAAAGATGAATCCCAGTGCAGGTTGCCTTGAAGAAGTGCGACGTCCAACACAAATTAATAATCTTATCGTGCTGGTTTAGACCAAAAATGATGTGATAGTATTGTGCTTCTCTTGGCACACAGATTGAGGATCTGGACCATGAGTGAGATGTAAGTAACCCTGACTTTGCATCACACAAGCAGTAGTTGAAAAAAAAATGAGACACTTAAGTCAAAGAGCTTTATCTTAAAATGAGCCCCCACAGAAGGAATGTGAGTGGGATAAGGGGTCAGATTTCAAGTATATATAAGAAGGTCCAGTGGCTAAAGCAGAACGCAAGGATAGAAGTAGCAGCAGTGGTTTCAGCTGTGCCTCAGCTCCAATGCAGAGAACTTTCCAGAAACAGATGGGCTTGCATAATGTCCCCGATCAGAAGACACTTTGAAAACCTGCCGTCTATGATGGCTTCCTGTCCTGGCTGCAAAGCTGGCAGGTGTGCTGGGTGGTGTCTCCTGACTCATGAATCCAGAACTCTCCATTTCCTAACAAGCCTCTGTTTTCCCAGAGGATACAAACGTTCCTGGGATGGTCCTCACTCCACTGATATGATATGGGGGTCACTTAACAAGTTTCCAACCACATGTTCCCTGGGACTAAATGTCCTGCCACCACATCCTCAGGACCCATGTCCGGCTAAGTGTTCTATATCCTCATTCTTCAAGACTGAATGTAAGTGTCACATAACAATACCCTGAGATCTTAACTCCCCGCTGCTGGGGTTTCGTTCCCAGTGAAACAGGCCTTTTTCAGCAAGCAACTTTTGCACCAATTATCTTCAGCCTTAAACCTCTGATCAATGGAGAGCAGTGTGGGCATTTGTATGAGATCCAGATGAAATAAAAAAAAAAAAAAAGAAAGAAAAGGGTCACTCCCACTCTTCTTTATTTGCACAGTGATACCAGCTTATGTTTCTCTTCCAGGAAACTACAATTATATATCCAAATATGTAACTGGACAATTTGTACATAATCATGGAAATAATCATGCTCAAAATAGAAGAAATGTTTAAATAAGTCCTTGAGTACCCCCAGCCATTCCTCACTCCCTCTTTTATGTGAGCCACCTCTTAAACTCTTCTAGAACCTCTCTTACCTGCATAGACAATTATTTCTTTCAAAGAATATACTAGGTGATGTACTTGTCTAAATTTTAATCTCATCAGTCCTAGATTCTATTATTGCCTGAAGCATTCCTAGAAATCCACCTATAAGATTTGCCTCTTTGTTTTGTGTCAGTTTTCAGTCTTTCACGGGAAGCTCTGTGTCTTGGTAGGGACAGAGAAGAAAGTCTGGTTACTGGCCAAGGTTATATCAGATTCACACTTCATGTGCTTTGTCTGGGTTGCAATGTTTTGTCTCTGAATGTGGGAACAGGGGTATTGTTTTCACCGCTGTGGGAGGGCAGCATTTGGCTGTTACTAAGTGTGGAGAAGAAGATAGGTGAGCTCTCTGTTAAAATCTTCCCCAGCAACATTTTTCTCCCACTTGAAAAAGAGCAAGAAGTGATAGGAGTTTTTGAAGAAATCCTTTATCTCTTGCCAAGAGCTGCAGGCCAGCTACAAAGGGATTCAACTCAATAGATAGTGTGAAGAAACAACTTTGTACAAGAACCTGGAGGTTCCCAAGGGCTGCTAGCTAAGGGACTGGGCACCTTTTTCCTTATGTTTCCTTTTGTTAATAAGTACCCAGTTCTCTTGGCTTGGGGCCTTTGGTAAATTATTATGCAGATGCTAGTAATTACCCCTCCTGCTAGACAGGGTTCCCGAAAGGTCACACTTTTTCCTGATTAGTTTGTGGCCCAGCAGTGACTTCCCTTCTCTGCAGGCCAGTCCCAGGAGGATCAACAGCACTGGATAGAGAGCTGCTCCAGAACTCCACAGCTGATCCTGAGACTGCACCTGCCCTCTCGCCATGTTCTGATGTGCCTTATACTTCTAGAAATTTTACCTAGTGTTCAGTGTCCCTAAAACTACACAGAGTCAATCTGAAAGAAAACCAAAGCTTGCATCTTCAACATAAATATCATAAATATCACCCATCTTTTAAGATGAGGGAAAATCATACCCAGTTACAACAGCCGGTACCTTGTGCTCTGAAACAGCTCACGAAACCGAGTTGAGCTACCTGTATCTCATAATTATTAGTTCACTCAGTGAATGCTTTCAGTTCTATGTCCCTCTATCAGAATAGATAATAAGGGACTTACCCTCTTGCACCCAAAGGATTTCAGCTAAGTCAATATATAACTGAATATGCTTCCTTACAATCCTGTCTTAATCTGATTCTCCTTTACTAGCTACTCAGTTTGACCTTCACCCAAGTATTACATTTTCCTCCCAGTGTTTGCTTTACAAAATCTTTGTGTGCTAGCCCTTTTTTATGATCTCCTAACAATCTCTGGAAACCCGTCACCTCCTCCATTGACCATTCTGTTCTCATTTGTCTTCTCCTGGAGACTCCTGGCACCGCAGAATGAAATGCCCCAAGACACAGAGCTCAAGGCTGCCCTCTCTGGTTGGGGCAGGGAAGGCACTGGAAGTGACCTGCCAGCTCTGAGCTGGGCTGCCACTGGAGTACAGGTGTTGGGAGGGGTGGGCAGGGAAGGAGGCAGTGATAGACTGCGTGACTTGCCACCAGCTTTCCAACTGCACTTCAAAAAATAATTGCTTTAATTGTTCTAATGTGAAATCAGTTGTGGTTCTATATTGTTTTAGAGATGTTTTCCCACACTAGGAAGTGAGTGGCGCCATTTGGAGACTGGAAATTTTTCTTTTTAATAAATAGTCTTTATTTTCAAAGCTTGTCTGTTGTAACCAAACAATTCAGAAATAATCTGTCATCTCCCACATCATTTTAACTGCTTTTTTTCTTAAAGAGGGTATAAGAAGAAGCCAAATGTACTGAAACAAAAACATGAGTTCACATTCAAAAAAGTCTTTTCATTTCTGATTATCAGAATTCCCCTCACTAGTGAAAGAGATGCTTATTCTTTTAAAAGGAACCAGTTGCCAAAAAAAAGTGAATTAATTCGGATTGTCTCTTTATGTTATAGGTGAGGGATGGAGACAGGGGAAATGAGGCAAGCTGCCCCAAGCCCCAGGCCCTGCCTAAAGGTCACTGTAGGTCTTTCCTACTCTCCCTCCATCCCATCCCCCTCCCTTGTTCCTACCTAAAAGTAACAGAAAATGACCATAGCAAACAAAGGCTCTTTTATAAACATGTTTTGCAGTCATCTTGACTGCAGTGATCCCAGAGAGCTATTTAGACTTTGACTTACGTAAAGGATTTCAACTGTTAGTTACTCAGATTCTAATAAGCAGTTCTTTATTTGGTAAGGCTTTTTCATTAAGCATGTGATAATAGGTGGCAGAATTTGGATATCATCAACAAATAGTGTTAGGCACTTAAATAACTCTTTGGCCTTTAAACTGTAAGGTCAGAGTATGTTGGTTTATAGTCATGACAAGACTTGTTTTCTTTGCTTTAGGATACTTTTGACATCTGTCACGCTGCTGTCTATTTATTCAATAAACCTTCTGCTGATCTGTTCAAAGGAAACAGGTAAGCTGATCATGACATTTTTTGTTTGTAGATTTATTTGTATTTATGCATACAAGAACTGGGGTATAGGCCAGAGGTGTTGGTGGCCGGGTGAGAAGGCTCACCAGAGACAGAGTGGGAGCACAACGGGTAGATATACTGAAATACACTGCCTGGGGGAGAAGCAGGTGAGACAGGAAAGGTCTGTTGCACCATGTGGGCAGCTCCCTGGCTAGTTATCGAATTCAGGCCTTAGCAGTAGAGGAGCTGAGACTTAATCCCTAGGCCACCAGGGAGGCCCGAGGTGGATAATTTTCCCTGTGATATTGTGAATGAATGATGCATTCATTCAGCCACTTGATTATTATTGAAACAGAGCAATTTCACCTATGGCCACTTTAAGACAATAGTGGAAAAATAGAGGTCCAACTTATAAAATACATTGTCCTCAAAGGCGAACACACAACATGATAATTTAAAGTGAGCCCTCAATTATACCTGTTTTTCTAGTTTAAGATGATTTCATCCTAAAGACTTTGGTTTTTCCCAAGGTCTTTATAAATCAGAACAATGATCCCATTTTTTTTTTAGATTATTGTCTCCATGGTTATACAAGTAAACGAGCTTTTATTTCTCCTTTGTGCATATTCCAAAAAGAAAATGTTAGTCCTGGGGCTATGTGGGCGTGACTGCACTGTGAAAAGACTTCAAGTTGTCTGGGCAGTGTAAAACCTGAAGTGTTTATTTTCTATTCCTGGGACACTGGGCGATGTTGGAGATTCTTTGACTTCTGCATTAGCTAAAACCACACTGGCCAACTACTATTGTATACAGATGACTCCATTTAGCTGGGACACTTTGTAATAAATCAGAGCTCCAACCATTGTCTTGTTTAAACACCAGACTAACAAGAAATTCAACAAAGGTTTGATTATGGCCTGACCCATATGCTTTCTGTGAATCTTTTGAAAACGTGAGCTGAACTGAGTGGGTGAGGTAGGAGAGGTCTGCTGTGCCCTGTGGGTCAGCTCCCTGGCTAGGGATCAAACTCAGGCCACACTGAGACTTAACCCATAGGCCACCAGGGAGACTTGTGTTCCTTTTATGAGTTTCAGATCTTTGAACTAAACTTTACAATGATCTTGGTTTTGTGATGACTATTACATGTTCCTACACGTGTTATATTTATTGCAAACACATGAGATATTAGTGGTCTAGTATTATGATAACTTTGTTATCATAGTCAGTTCAGTTAATTAATTTAAAAGGAATCTTTGCACCTGAATCATAAGGAATTTTTAAAAATCAAATCTGTATTTTAATGATACACAACAGACTTGAGACTAAGATTGGAGTGGGGATTTCCCCCCAGCCAAGTAGGAATGGTATTTAAAATTGTGAAAAATAAACCTATGACCTAATAGGGTAAATGTAATGGTTTTGTAGGCAACCTGAAAAAAGAAGAAATTGTGGTAAAGTCTGACATTTTAAAATGTCAAGAAGGTGTTTTACAATGAGAGTGTTTTAAACCTTGCAAAGCCAGGAGGCTGTTTGCGTGATTTTGAGAAAAACACGTAATAACATGGGAATAACCTAGAGAATGACGAAACCTCAACTGTCTTTAACTTTTGGTACAGTTATGTCTTGTGTTCTCAATAATGGCTTTTAAATAGGCTGTATGGTTTACGAAAAGCTGGGAGAGCAGGTCTTTGGCACGACAGGGAAGCTTGTCATCTTCGGAGCCACCTCTCTACAGAACACTGGAGGTAACAAGAAAGGCTTTTCTGTACGTAACTTCAAAGTATGTGATTATCTAAGCCAAGTAGTTACCATTGTCATTGCTAAAAGCACTTGGAAAGGAAAGCGGTCACTTATTTTAAAGAAAATGTTTTCCTAGAACTGCTAATGCTGTCTTGGTGTCTTATTGAAGGTTAATCTAAGAACAGGCCAGTAACCTTTTATATGGTTTGCAACTCGATCCTGAGTATCTGCTTTCTAAATATGTTCTCATATTCTCTTAGCAATGCTGAGCTACCTCTTCATAGTGAAAAATGAACTACCTTCTGCCATAAAGTTCCTAATGGGAAAGGAAGAGGCATTTTCGTAAGTCAGAGACCAATTTTTGTAAGATAACTAAAATACTTTTACTCTTGATATGTGTGCTAATAAAAGTTGTTGTTTTGTGATAATTACAAAAACTTAATCTTCCCTGGGTTGGTTTGTTTTTCCCACGTTTGTTGTTGCATAAATAAATTTCTTAGGGGCTAAATAAATGACAGAGGCAGGAGAGCCATCAGAATAGGAGCTTTTAAAGGTAGATCCATCCATCCTGCTGCAATTGCTCAAAACTGCATTTTCCCAAGAGCCTGCAATTTGTGTCTGGTTGCTGTGAAATAGAACAGATATGGGGTATTTTTACCATGAAAGTGGAACATGCAAAAAAAATAAAATAACGAAGATCTCAGTCTCTTTCTTAAAGAAGGAACATAGCATTTTGGGTACCCATTTTACATGCACTAACCTCATGAAAGACACAGCTAGCCCTGGAAAATGTTGCAGCTGTTTATATATAGTACACCCTTTGTGTTTTGACTCCCCCTGTTTAACAGTCCTCGTCTGTCTTCGTTTCTCTGTTTTCTTTCAAGGGAGACTGTCAGAAGCCAGAGTTCTTAGTGGTCTAGCCTCAGGATTCAAGGTCAAATACTAAAGATTAGAGAGAAAGTAACGCTTACCTATAGTGGTTTGTTTCTCTTTGACACAGGCCTAGCCAAACAAAAAGGAACTTTCTCTTTAAATAATGGATAGGACAAGTTGTAATCTGACAAAGCATTCAGCTTTGAAAACACATAAATGATTCAAGGGGAGGCCACGTTAACCAGTGGAGGACAGGGAAACCCAATATCCCTTCTTCCATCACCTGCAGGAGAGCATAGTAAATGAGAAGTGATTGAGTTAAAGTATTTGCATGAAACCTGCATAAGGATAAAATTTCATAATAGTTGGGGGATTTTGTACATTTGTGGTAAATACGCCATTTATTGGAAAATATGACCTGTCACTTCAATGCCTTGCAGTGCCTGGTATGTGGATGGCCGTGTGTTGGTGGTGATAGTTACATTCGGGATCATTCTCCCCCTATGTCTCCTAAAGAATTTAGGTAAGGAAAGAGCTTCTTGTTATCATTGTCTTGACAGTGCCCAGTTGAGTCAGAAACTTAAAAAAAAATAGACCCTGCTTTCACTTGTAGGGTCAAAATGAAGGGAATGATTTAAGTGACATGTCTTAATCAGGCTCCACTTTATCTTTTTTAATATAATGATTTATTTATTTATTTTTAAAGATTTATTTATTTATGCATACAGAACTGGGGTACAGGCCAGAGGTGCAGGGGTGGCAAGAGGCACAGAGTGGGGAGCAGAACAGGCAGATCGAGGAAGTACACTGCTGAGGGGAGCAGTGGGCGGGTCAGGAGAGGTCTGCCACGCCATGTGGTCTCCTCCAGGGCAGGCGAGAATTGAACTCATGTGGAAGTGGCTTTAGCTTCTCAGTGTTGTGCTTTAACCCGCTGCGCCACCAGGGAGGGCCTAATGATTTATTTTTTTACATCATTGTTCATTTTTGTACAATATTTTATTTCTCCGCTCATGTGTAGTCCCCATAAAATTCCCACCATAAAATTCATATCACCGGTGAATCACCATAGTTTCTTATGCTCTTCCCTCCCCTAGTTTGACCCCTTTTCCTCCCCCTCCTCTGCTATATGTTTCAGATTTATAGTTGCCTGCTAGTTTTATCTTTTTCCCTCACCCCTTCAGCTTCCCTATATTCCTCCTAGAAGTGAAACCATCTGATAATTTATTTTTCCTTCTGACTTATTTAACTGAACATTATTCCTTCCAATTCCATCCATGGTGCTGCAAATGGCATGAATTTTATCTTTTAATGGCTGAGTAGTATTCCATTGTGTATATAGACCCATCTTTTTTATCTACTTATGATTTTGGACATTTAGGCTGTTCCCATATATTTGCTATTATAAATAGTGCTGCAGAAAACAGGAATTCTGGTTTTCCTTCAAATTAGTGTTTTATATCCTTTTGGGTAGATTCCTAGGAGTAGACTTGCTGGATACTATGGAAACTCCATTTTTAGTAATTTAAGGAACCTCCACATAGCTTTCCATAGTTGTTGGATCAGTCTGCATTCCCACCAATAGTATAAGAGGGTTCCTTTATCTCCACATCTTTTGCCAGCATTTGTTGGTCAGGCTCAATTTTATTTGGGATAAAAAGGCTGACCAGTGAGTGACCTTCTTGGCAAACCCTGTGCAGAGCTGAGAGAGGAGGGGGTCCTGGGCCGGCAGCACTTGGGCCTGTTTCCCAGAGCTCTCAGGCTATGCTCAGAGAAGTCCAAAGAGTGGAATTCTCCTCACCGAAGGTGTTAGACAACACTGATCATTTAGATATAGATTTTCAAGTTGAATATCAAGACTGAATATTACTTATCATTATAGCCCAAAGAATTATGAATCACTCTTCAGTTATCAGAACCACATTAACCCAGGAAAAACCTCTAAAATGTATTTTTTTTAATAAAATGGGCCAATATGGGGCAAAACTAAACTTCGGCCCCAAGTAATAACAAACTAAGGTTTCTGTTTTGTTTTATATGAAAAATACCAAATCTCTGCAGCTGTTTTGGAAGATCAATAAGTAGGTTTTTTAGATGTTTCACTTTCTGGATGCAGGGTCTGTGTCTGCTTTTTTCTGTATCTATGTAGGTAGCATTTTCAGTTTAAGTTTCAGTTTAAACGGGCTCACACATGAGAACATTATAGCCCCCTAAGGTCACCTAACTCTAAACTGCTGGATTTTATGGTGGCTGGTGGCTGGTGGTTGGCGATAGCTCAGGGGAAATCTCAGGGGAGCAAGATGAAGACCCCTCCGTGTTCAATGTATCCCTACAATTCATTTCACCTCTTGTGTGCCTCCTCTCCGAGAAGAGACATATTAGAGTTGACATCGGGCAATGAGGAGCTAAAGTGTGAGGCAGGAAGTAAGTGGAGAAGCCTGTACAAATACATACACAACATTACAAACCTGTGACCAAAAGGCTTTCACCCCTGAATTCTGGGCATCTGTGTTCTTTTAGTGTGTCACGGAGAACTAGAATCAAGACATATACTATGTTTTCATACAAAGTCACCAATGTTGCCAAATAAGGTAACACCATCAAATAATAAGTCTTGAGTTGACATTGGCATGTGTGTATATTATTGGAACCCCAAATGGTGCCTATAAAAAAGGCATTGGAAAAAACAAGATGATGGATGAAATAGTAATAATAATATTTTTTAAAAATCTTTTTTAGGCTATCTTGGCTATACTAGTGGATTTTCCTTGAGCTGCATGGTGTTTTTCCTAATAGTGGTGAGTGCTGATTGAAATGTCTGGTTTGATTTTGCCATACTTCAATGCTGTGTAATAAGTATTTCTTATTTGTCTTGACTTGATAACATGTATTGTTTCTTCTGTATTTTCATGCCAGGTTATCTACAAGAAATTTCAAATTCCCTGCATTGTCCCACTGCTAAATTCAACAACAAATGCTAATTCAACAATGTGTACACCAAAATATGTTACCTTCAATTCAAAGGTAAACTCCCTTAGTCCTTAAAGACAAAAAGGAACATTTTTATGAAGATCATTGTATTTCTCATACTTGCTAAAATTAAACTGTTTTTAAATATACTCATTCTTAAAGGAATATGATATTACCAAAATCTGTTTGTCTGTTAAGAGACATTTGAAGAATAAATGAATAATCTATTACATGTTCCATTTTACACACATTACATGTAGGGTTACCTTAAGCATTCTCTGTGAAAAGCTCTCTGGATAACTTCAGCCTCCTCTTCCTTTGTAAAAACCAACTAATAGCATCCTTAGCTTGCTCTTTGTGATCTGGTAATGACAGAAAGGTATGCCTCAATGTTCCCCAGTTTGCACAGTAGAACTATTGATAGCACCAGAAACTGGCACTTGAGGATTTTCATATTATATTGATTTTACATAGTGACATATTATAAAAGATTTTTTAAAAAATATTATGTTGATATTGCTGATAATACGACAACAGTCAATGGTCAGTTTGAATCCTCAGGCAAGCCACGTGTTAAATGAGGATTCCATTCTGTATCTTACAGCATTTTTTTTAAAAAGATTTATTTATTTACGCATACAGAACTGGGGTACAGGCCAGAGGCTCAGGGGCAGCGAGAGGCTTCACCAGAGACAGAGTGGAGAGCAGAACAGGCAGATCGACGAAGTACACTGCTGAGGGGAGCAGCTGGCGGGTCAGGAGAGGTCTGCCGCACCATGTGGATCTCCTCCGGGGCAGGCGGGGATCGAACTCATGGGGAGGTGGCTCCAGCTTCTTAGTGCTGTGCTTTAACCCGCAGCGCCACCAGGGAGGGCCTCTTACAGCACTTTTTAGAATGTGCTTTGTTCAGTGCTTGGCCAAACAAGAAAGAGTGTGAGAAAGGTTGCTTTTCCACCTTTCTTTGCCTGTTTTGTTTTGCTTTACATAAATTAAAGTTATGATGAGTTTGAGAGTTTTTAAATGTCCTATTTAAGAAAATTAAATAGGTTTTTCTCTTTTGAATTCTAAGTCAATGAATGAGGAAGTAATTTTTTTAGACACTTTCTTTTAAATCTGACTTGAGGGGCCTCCCCGGTGGCCTAGAGGTTGAGTCTCAGCACTCCCATCTCCACTGCCTGAGTTCTGTCCCCAGCCAGCAGGGAGCTGACCCACATGGCCTGGCAGACCTCCCCTGGCTTGCCCTCTACTCCCCTCAGCAGTGGATTTCAGTCCATCTGCATGTTCTGCTCCCCACTCTGTCTCTGGTGAATCCTCTCACCACCACCCCACCTCTGTCCTACACCCCAGTTCTTGGATGCAAAATAAATTAATAAATCTGATTTGATGCAGAAAGGTCTAATTTTATGTGAAATTTTAAGTCTCATTTTAAGCTGCTTTGATGCAAAAAAGAGTCTGATATAGAACAAAGGGTGGAAAACACAGGTGGGAACTCAGTGAGATGTGGGAAAATTCCTGCATGGCAGACTGGTGCCACATAAATCCAGGGGGAAGCTCTCCAGGACAGTACAAAGTAGGGGGTGGGATCTGAACAGAATCCCTCTGTGCCAGGTGCCTGCTGCCCAGGCCACCTAATCTCTCTTCGAAAGGTGCTCCTATTTTAGGTGGCAAATCCCTCCTAATAACAGAGTCATCCAGAAATTCTGAAGAGCGTTCAAATCAAGAGACAGCTTAGAAATACTAGGAGTGTTTAACTGCTATGATACAACTGCCTGTTTCATAATTTTTCTTTCTTTTCCAAATAGACCGTGTATGCATTACCAACGATTGCATTTGCCTTTGTCTGCCACCCGTCAGTCCTGCCAATTTACAGTGAGCTTAAAGAGTAAGAGACTTGCTGGATGTTTATGCTTTTGCCATTTTATATCCCCTGGTTAATATTCAAGTGCCTTATTAAAATAGGCAGAGTCATGCAGTGTACCCCGAAACCCTGAGGGCTCATCACTCAGCTGCAGATGCATTATCTGACGTTCAGATAATAACTACTGTCATTAGGGAAAAAAAGAACAAGGAACATCAGAAACCTGCAGTAATTTTTGGCCATAGACCTATAAAATGGCCAACTATGTCCAGTTTTTAATTTGGTGTTCCAAATACTGTTACTCAGAAAAGCTCAAGTATTTTTGTTGCTTATGCTTTGATGCTTCTTTTGCAAGCACATAATACTCATATTCAGATTTACCTGTTTCTGACGTGCCTACTAGATTTGGTGGAAAAGGCTGATAAATCAGGCATGAAGACATCAGTGTTAAGACCACAAACCAGATAAAACAACATTGTTCATTTTAAACCACTAAACTGGTACTACTGATTTCTTTTTTGATGTAGTCTTCATAAAAACTTAAGACCCACTTATAAATTTCCTCATATGTTCTGTTTTTAACTTCCTGTTAACAACCTTTCTATATACAAATAGTTTTCCTTGCACAGTCTTGAGCTCAGAAAACAGAGACAAGATAGCCATGTCTTTCTCCTTGAAACAAAAAGTTGTTATCATTTAACATTACATTCAATCCTGATTCCTCCTCCTTTATAGATTTAATTGATACATCGCTAAATTTTGAAATCTCTGTCTACCTATCTAGCATATCGCAGTCCTACTTTATGATCCATTATTTAGAATGCTTAAAGATGACTTGGACAGGGCCTCCCCGATGGCCTAGAGGCTAAGTCTCTGTGCTGTCACTGCTACAGCCTGAGTTTGATCCCTGGCTGACCCCCATAAGGTGCTGCAGACCCCCTCTGTCTCTCCCACTGGTCCCGTCACTGATCCTCCTGTTCAGTTCCCCACTCTGTCTCTGGTGAATCTTCTTACCACTACACCTCTGGCGTATACTTCAGTTCTTCTAAATAAAAATAAAAATAACATCACCCCCCCCCCCAAAATTCAGTAGTCCAACTCTGACTCTTAGTTTTCTCCTGTGTGTACATCTTGATTGTTCTCATTTTCCCAACTCCCTGTTATGGCCCAGTCAAATATTCGGACTACCTGTAAATACCTGGTAAATTAAGTATTTGGAAGTGAAAGAAACACAAATGTTTGTTCAAATTCAGTTCAAACTTAACCTGGATATAAAGCCCTTCCTTCCTGAAGCTACAGTCCTTGGTGCACGCTACTCTGGGGATATATAGTCTTCTCGGTGCCCCCTGGGATACCCACTGGGGAAAACAGAAGCTGAGTAGCAGCTTAAGCCACAGAACACTCCAAGGTTAAGCTGCAGCTCTGTCCTCGCTCCCTGAGGCTGAGAGGACACCCTTGAGTTTTTTCTGTCTTTTTTCCTGTGCATGTTGAATGTGCAGCTAACTTCAAACACAAACAGGAAAAAAACACTCTGCCCTTCGGAGGAGAACTTGATATTCTTTCAGAGGATTGGGGGAGGATTCCCTGTGTGTCCTTCTCTTGTCTTATTGCTCTGGCTAGGATCCCCAGTATTATATTGAAAAGCAGTGGCCATAGTGGGCATCCTTGCCTTGATCCTGATCTCAAAGGAAAGGCTTTCAGCTTTTCTCCATTGAGGATTATATTCATTGTGGGTTTGTCATATATGGCTTTTATCTTGTTGAGGTATGTTCCTTCTATCCTGAAAATTTCGAGGACCATTTCACTATAAATGGATGTTGAACTTGTCAAATGCTTTCTCAGCATCTGTTTATATGATCTTACAGTTCTTCTTTTTCTTTTTTTTTTTTGCTGGGAACTACACCTGAGAGGAGAAAGCAAATATTGTACAAAAATGAACAATGATGCAAAATATAGATAAATAAATCTTTTTTTTTTTTTTTAAAGAAGATTGGGGAAGACACCCAGGGGTGTTTGATATTAAGGAAGTTATTCTAGACTGGTCTAATTTCAGCTGGTCAGTTCTGCTCTCTTCTGACAGAAGGAAAGTTGAATTAATAGTCTTCAGTGATAACAATGGTGCTTAAATTCAGGATGGTGATCTTTAATTTTTCTTTTTCCTTTTTTTTCAGTCGATCCCAAAAAAAAATGCAAATGGTTTCAAATATCTCCTTTTTTGCCATGTTTGTCATGTACTTCTTGACTGCCATTTTTGGCTACTTGACTTTCTATGGTAAGTAACTTCTGTCAGTCCATAAATACAGATATTTGTAAATAAATGAACAAAAATTAATAGCAAAGTAACTTTGAATATGCTAGCCAAAAGTCCAGCAAATCTATCCATGGATTTGCTGGTCTTGTCTTTTACTAAAAGCAAATGGTGGTGGTTCCTTTATATTCATGCAGGACCATAAGAAAATAATGACTAATGACTAAAAACAACACACTGTGATTTTTTTTTCTCCTAATGGTGTTCTTTAATAAAATTGCATCTTATAAGTATGCCAGCTTTAAGAAGTAAAGTAAAAGAACACAATCAGACAAGTTTCCTAATTGCTATTGCAAATTGGGTCAGATTCCATTAATAGAATAAAGAGAGTCAGAGACAGATGTTGGAAGTGAGAAAGAGCAGTGTGATGCTCGTGACACGCCATGTTCATTAAAAATAAAATGCCTAATTGCTCACTGGAAGTTGGAGACTTGCAAAGACATGAGGACTGGCACACAAAGTTAAAAGAAATCTGAAAGTGAGAGGCAAGCCTGATGTGTGATATTTACTGCCCTTGTGTGAATAATCGACCTTTCCTATGTCTTCCTCTCCCATTCAGATGATCCTGCAGTTTCAACATCTCTCATTATTATTGTAATTGAGAACTGAATTTAAATACATACATTTCACATCATTCTTTATTAAATAGGATTTCTTTAGGGCACTTTTTCATGAATATAAATGTTTCAAAAACAAACTATCTTGATTGAACATTGACAGATTATTATTCTCACCCAAAAGGCTACCCTGGTGATATGGTTATATTATTACCATTTTTATAAATGATGAAGAATGACAGCTAACTAATCTATAAATCCACAACAAACCAGGGACATGGAACAGTTTGTAAACATTGGTTTACAACGTTGTGGCTGATTCAGAGCACATTTAATTTGTGCTTAAGAACTGTGTGTCTATGTTTATTGCCTAGTTGCAGGCTGGGAATAGCTAAAGGGGGGAGGTCAGGGGGTGGGGAGGAGAGAGAGCTTAAAGTTAGTTGAATGACTCATTGTTACTCTCCTCAAGCTATGATTTTTCATTGCAAATCTATTCTTTGCCACATGTGATAGAACACGAAGCCCTCTTAGCCTCTTTGGTTAAAGAAGACTTGGGCTATGTTTTAGTGATTATGAATTTTGAATCAAAGAAGTTAGAATAAATGAGGTTTCATTAAAACCTGAAACAAAGGTGTGAAACAGACCTTGAACTTGAACTCAATACCCAGAACCTTGAGATAATGCAGTGAGAAGCATTAGAACATAAACATGAAGAAAGGAAATGATCTCTGGCCAAAACTGAACTTGCTCTCCATTAGGATTCTTCTCTACTTTCTAAGTCTTTAAAGTAATACTTGCTGAGGTTAGGCGCTGAGAATCGGAGTGGCACACAAGCTTAATAGCTTTTTCAAAATAACAAATGGAAATGGAAGAGACGTGTTTCAGGCGTTGCTCAAGTCCTGTTCATGCCTGTGCTCCTGCCATGGAAGTTGAGTTCTAAGAGCAGAGCGGGAAGGGGCTCCAGTCTACCCAGGGAGGCATGGCACTGGGTCTTGGACGAGCAGACAGTACTATGGGAACATCTGGAGTAAAGGGACTCTGTGCTTCAGCCGTCAATTATTTTTTTTATTACAAAAGTTTATTTTTACATCATTTTATACATTTTTTTTCCATCTCAATTGTAATCCCCGTGGGTTTCCTATCACCAAGTCACCCGTGTGCCATCACCATAATCCCGTGCATTTCCCTCCCCCCACCCCGTTTTTGATCCCATTCCCCACTCCACCCCCACAAAATGTCTCTGGTATATGGTTGTTCATTATTTTTGTTATTTTCTCACCTGGTCCATTATACTCCTGCTATGAGTGAAACCATCCCAGCCATCAATTATTTTAATCCCGATCCATTCCTAAATTTAATTGAGTCCAAGTTAAGGACCCCTTCTCTGGTGGCTTCTTCTAGAGCTTCCTGCAAGATCCTTTCAGCCCAGGCTGAGCAGGTGGAGAGTGCTTTCCAACATTCTAAAGCATTTTAATAGAAACCTAGAATCTTGCTTCCCTGGCGGTATAGCTTACAGATGCTTTGTCGTTCAGTGATGTGTCTTGCTCTTTTATTAACACCCTCTGACTCTGCCATCATTTCAGAAAATGTGCAGTCAGATCTTCTGCACAAGTACCAGAGCAAAGACGACATCCTGATTCTGACCGTGCGCCTGGCCGTCATCGTGGCCGTCATCCTCACGGTTCCCGTGTTGTTCTTCACGGTGAGTGAGAGACCTGGCGCCACCTGAGAACAGCTGAGTGTTTCACCGTTCCTTCTCCCTGGCAGAGCTCTGCCAGAGAAATCCTGCCCTGGGAACATTCCTGCTTCATTGAAACCACACTAGGGATGGATCCTAAGACTCCACTAAGGCTCTTTGGGGAGAAAGTGAGCTCAGAAAACAGGGGGACTTCTGATAGGATGAATCTTAATTCTTATTAACAGGTCCCTCTTCTTTGAGACAGGTAGACAGAATATTCGACTCTCAATCATGTGTGATGAGAGAATATAGAAGGATCAGAATAGGACACCCAGTCGTAGATAAAAGCAGAAATTCATCCCCTCACATAGAGAACTAGCCACACATAAAAAGGTTCTCTATTTTGTTTCAAGCCCCTAGCCCCACTCGCTTCCAAAACTGCTATCAGTAAACTTGTTAGGTACAACAAAACATTTTGCGATTTTTTTTTTTGGTAGAAGAACTGGGGTACAGGCCAGAAGTGCTGGGGTGGGGATGAGAAGATTCACCAGAGACAGAGTGGGGAGCAGAACAGGTGGATCTACTGAAATTCACTGCAGACGGCAGCAATGGGAGAGACAGGATAGGTCTGCTTTCCTGACCAGGATCGAATTCAGGTTGCAGTGGTGGTAGCACTGAGACTCAACCTCTAGGCGACCAGAGAGGCCATATTTTGCAAATTTGTATGCACCAATAAATCAGTATCTTTGCTGGTGGATATAAATATGAAGTTGGCATGCTCCTGACCTTTATTAAGTCTTTGCCTTCCTACAGGTTCGTTCATCTTTGTTTGAGCTGGCTAAGAAAACAAAGTTTAACTTATGTCGCCACATCTTGGTTACCTTCATCCTCTTGGTTATTATCAATTTGTTGGTGATCTTCATCCCCTCTATGAAGGACATCTTTGGAGTTGTAGGTATGACTGTGAATTTACACTTATTCTACAACAGCTGTTTAGAAAGCTACAATTTCCCAACAGCACCTCCAAATATATTTTTCTTCTCATTTTACAGGAGTTACATCTGCTAATATGCTTATTTTTATTCTTCCGTCATCTCTGTATTTAAAAATCACAAACCAAGATGGAGATAAAGGAACTCAAAGAATTTGGGTATGTGTCTTGGCTGCCACTCTTAACTTTTTAAATAGTTTTTTACTTAAATTTATCAAATAGTTTCTACTATCTAATACTACTTCTAGCTGCTTGGAAGAGAGACCACAGTCTTGTGTTTTCCCATGTGCAAGATTTAAAAAATATAAGAAGCTTCTCCATTCTCTCAAAGTATCTTTTCAGGTTTACCCTTCGCTTTTGTTCTTAGCAAGGGCAGGCCAGCAGGAGACTGGGTGTTTATCCTCTTGTGCCTCAGTAGGGTGAGAACTTGTCATTAGCATAAGATGGGAGATGGAGAAGGACTCAAAGATTTTATACAGCCCCCTGTTTCTGCATGTTCCCAGTCACACGGCTCCTCCTTACCTGCAATGCCTTCAGAAGGCTGAGTTAGCAGAAAGAGTCTCTGTGATCTGGGAGAAATGCTTTGGAGCCACAGTCTTGGGTTCAGGAATTGCCTTTCCATATTGGGATTCTTGTTTCCAGATATGGTGAAGCTCAGGGGGGTAGGCTTGGAGGGAAACAGGGGTGAAGTGTCAGCCCTCACCTCCCATGTTACCCAAATGGGAGATGTAGACAGGAGGGATCACCCCTGTGCATTTAGAGAAGCAGTGTCGAGGCTGGTAGCACCTACTTCGTAATGGGATTAGCCCAACATGCTGAATCTCATTTTATCCCAAACCTTACTGGTAGGGGCTTCACGAGAGCAAAGAGCATAGGGGTCATTCTGGCACAGCAGGAAAATATGCCAAGACTATATCTGAAAATGGTGGTGTTACCCGTGAGCCTCTGGTCCTGTCCAACCTGGCTCCAAAAAAAAAAAAAATTGTGGTAGGGTCTACAGGATGATTTGAAACAGGGGCTCTTGTCCACCTGGAAACTCACCGGAATCTTCTAGATTCATGACAGTAAACCCAGTGGCGGCCCCCCTTCTTTAGCTCAATACGCCCCTCAAGCTCCATGCAACTCCCGGGGTGCTCCAGAAGCTTGGTCTAGGCCAAGCAGTCCATAATCATGTGCTCTCCAGGTTCTGTATTTAATAACCTGCCCCCCCCCCCCCGTGACCTTTATCCCTCCTTGAAGTAACTTAGTTTTTGATGCCTGTTTCCTGTCTCCCTGGATCAAGTCTACTTTGCTTTTCTCTATCTCTTGTTCCCTTTGGCAAATGGAAGTGTTTGCCACCAGTGATAACCAGGGTTGGTCATTAGAGAGGAAACAAAACGACCTTTGTGCCGCTTTGTCTGGAAGAGGCTGGGGGGTGGGGGGGTGCCTGCAGGGATGGAGCAGATTCACCCCAAGCTACAGTCAGCTGTCAGGACGAGTCTTACTTTCCCCCACTTGCAGGATCAGATTCATACAGTTTGGAAAGATTCTGTAGCTCAGTTTCAGGTGTAAGGACACAGAAGGAGGGTGGAGCTTAGTTTCTTTCCCTGGTGCAGGTGGGAAAGGTTTATCTC